TGCATGTGAACCGCTGGGTCCCTTGGCGTGCAGTTGCCGTAATCGCTACGATTCTCTTGACACTTGGACAGCCGCGCAAGCCCGGATACTATCTANTAGCCAAGAGGCGGCAAGACCCCGTGTCACTCGCTTGTAAACTACGCTAACTCCTGCAATCTAACTAGTCGTATTCGATACACAGGGGTTTTCGTCATACAGGAATGGACTGTATAGCCTGCATTAAGGTACAGAGCGGAGAACACAGTGCGGCGGCTAGATTGTGCGGCTGTTGCTCGGCTGTTGAGCGGGGAGCGCTGATATGGGGGAAGTGAATCCTTTGAAGAAGAATCTACCTACGCAGTACGTAGTACATGGGGGTATTGCACAGTACCCCTGCTGATGATCCCCTAACGCATCTCTACAAACAAACAGAGGGGGAACACTCCGGGTCTTGGGCCCCACTTGCTTGACTATGCTTAAGAAACTAAACGATAATTGTATCACCGGGCTAATATATGTACATCACCTCCGTACATAATAAAAAAGCGAATACATTACATACGCATCGTACAAAATGGCTTTTCTCAAAACACTAGATCTGAATACTTTCTGCAATGGTTCTATAATGGAGCGTCAGCAATTCGCACAATCTTTGAAAGAAGGACTCCGAGAACATGGATTTGTGAAGTTAGTCAACCATGGCTTTTCAGATGATGATATTAATCAACTGTTCAACTGGGTAAGCAATCCTATCACCACACCCTGAATGAGTAACTAATCTAATTAGAATAAACGATTTTTTGCTCTCGGAAAAGAGCAGAAGGAAAAGATCATGAATTTTCCAAATGACAATCCTCAGAGAGGATGGAGCGGCGTTGGTATAGAGAAGACTAGCACATTGAATCCAGCAGGTAAAACCAACCTTACCCGATGTAGCCATAAGAACCTACATGATGCTAAGGTAGGTGTCAACGTTTTCTCTAAGACTGTAGGATGTGTGAATAATGCGTATGTAATAGGAACACTTCGACATCGGCCCATCCTGCGATACGCAATTTCCAAACCAATGGCCCTCAGAGGTAGATATTCCGGGCTTCGAAACATGGGTAACAGCTTATTTTGACAAATCATATCAAATCGCTCTCGATCTTCTGGGCGCACTGGAGTTTGCATTCGATATGCCTCAGGGCTCCTTTGTTAAGAAATGTGCAGGGCATGCCAGCGAGCTGCGGCTCAACCACTACCCAGCTATTTCCACCGACACACTAGAGATCGGTACAACCCGTCGTATCTGGCCACATACAGACTTTGGCCTCATAACACTACTGGCACAAGATGACAATGGAGGTCTCGAAATTCAAGATCCAAATCAGCCGGGTGAGTTCTTGCCCGTAATGCGGAACCATCCAAGTGAGTTGGTCGTCAATGCTGGCGATTGTCTAGAGCGATGGACCAACGGGATTATTAAGGCCGGTCTACATCAAGTCACCACTCCAAGTCACGTAAAACAGAAAAAGGGAGAGATGCTACCAGCACGACATTCAGTTGCATTCTTCCTAAAAGCAGCTAGAGGTGCTAGTGTCGGTCCGTTTGAAAAGTTTGTTGATGGGGTTCCGCTTTATGAGGATATGACCGCTCTTGCTTATCACAAGCAGCGACAAGGAATTGTTTATTGAGTAAACTTCTATATTGCTTACTAGGCTACCAAATATATCCGGTCATTATTTTTCCTGATATAGTTATTAGGAAGTTTCACTTAATAAATAGAGACACATCTTCTAGCTCCACACTCGAGTGGAGTTGTCAGAGCTCCCTATATTCGATTTTTGAGTGCTATACTCGGCACCAACTGCTGCTGAAGTGGATCTTCAGTGAAATTAACCGTAGTCTACCTAGTACTGACGCTGAAACTAGCGATCGAGCTGAACATTGACATTATTGCATTCAAAAGCCCTAGATTGTCCTAACAAGCAACAACGACTACTCAGCGACTAGGTAAGTCCCCTACCAAGCATTTGTTAGTCCCCCAACCAGTAGACAAAAGCTCCACTCTAGACTCCTGTTTTATTATCCACGATAGTAAAGTAGAGCATATCTACCAGAAGAATTTGGAGCAAATCTAGACGCCCTCACCCTAGCAGCTAAGAGGCAAAGCTTTAAGTTCAATATAGTAAATGTGTAAGCCGAGAAGAACCATGTGTAGTTACGTGGTTGCCCACTGACAAACAACGTTGTATCTAAACTTGCTTCTTGTATACTCGGGCCCAACGGCTGCTGTAGCAGAATTTCAATGAAATTGCCCGTGCTCCGCACGGGC